CAACCTTCCTTCCGAGGAGTGGCTGGTGGGTTTGAACCACCAGCCTTCTGGTTAGCAGTCAAGTGCTTTAGCCACTATGCTACCAGAGCTCCTGTCATCTTTATTTGTAATGCATTTACATACCACTTTTCAAATAAAAACCTGCTTTAAACTCAATTTGAGGAAGTTATGTTCAGTAACAACTCATTGACGTATCATTACAATTGTGGCCCAGATTTTAATGTCCCTCCAGTCTTTCCCATAAGCCAGTGGAAGGGTATTTATCACCACAAGTACCAAGTCACCCTTATTAAAACAGGACATGTACAGCACAGGTATAATTGGTTGTATTGCCAAATCTAAGGCAGAGAAAATTCAAAGGGAGATCTCTACGAGACATCAAGTTCCCAGCCCACCACGTCACAAAGTAACTAACTGGATCACTTACCTGGAAGAAAATAGCTCAGAAAAATCTTGAATTGAACCCTCCAAATTCATGCTTTTCAAACGTTTTAAACACTGTTCAACCTGAAGGAGGCAGAGTAGCTCAAGTTCATATGTAAATAATGGTGACCAAGAAGGCAGAGAGCCAGATTTTCAAAGTATGAAAATATGCTGAAAACCACAGAATACATTTTTTTCCCAAGAGTAAAGAAATCCAAAGCTCTGATTTGAGGACCCAATTTTTTCTTGCATTCCAAACATTTGATGAAACCACTTTACGTCACAACTTGTTATATACCCAATTACTCTAATATTCTACTGATCAGATTATACAATAAATCAACCACAATTTTGTTCTTTTTTATGGTTTTAGGATTTTGATTATGCTCAGGAAACTTTCTTAATGTCCAACATTTTGTCTTGTTCAAATTACTTTATCTTTGAACTGAGCAAAGGCACCCTAATTTATTCATCATATGTAACGAACACAACTCTTTTCACAAAAACTTAGCCACTAGAAATGAGACTGAGAGAGAACTGATCTGAACATATTTTTTTCCTAACAAAAATAATTTTGTGACATTCTTTTGGAAATAAATAAATAAAGTCCACATCCAATTGTGGGTTCAAGAAACATAAATCACAAGTAATACTGAGATTTCCAAAAATGACTAAATAGTAAGTGGCAATTCAGGCAATACACAGCTTCCTCCTCACCTGTTTAAGGGCCAGATGGGGCTTGTGGTGGCCCATTCTGTTATGGTTGCTGTAAATGAATGCACATAACACATCTGTTTCTGCATCTAAGGTTTGGCTCTTCAGTGATAGTGTGACCAGGCAGCATTCTTTAATGGCAGCTGCAATGCAAAGGTCTAAAGCAGAGATTTTAATAAGATTTAGTGTATATTTCTACATCAAGTATATTAGATAAAAAATACACTGAAAAAAGCATCTTTCCTTCTCATTTGTTTTAAAGAAAGAGAATAAATTAACATAATCCACCTCAAGTGCAAGAATATAATTATTCTAAGTAGGTGAGAAGTTGGAAAATGCTGACAGATGATAACAAGTCCAGAAAATCATGAGCTAACATCCATTAACGGAAGCAGATCGGTTCAAGAGATCCTGGATAGAGTGGGAGAACGATGTGGAACAAAAACTCAAAATCATAAAAAAAAAAGACCAGGCTTGCTGGTCTGATAGAGCCTGATGACCTAGTGAAACCCCTGAGACTACGGCCCCTAGTCACCCTTTAAGTCTGGAACTGAACTCACTCCTGTGACTTCTGAACGACGGACAGGCATATAGGGTTAACATTTACATGAGGTAGATACACTCCCTGGAGTGATCAACCATGGGAGAACAGAAGGGCAGTGTGTGCACAGGGAGACAGCTTGCAGGCTAGAATGCAAGGGAGGAAAGGACACAGGGAAGAGGTAACTACAGACAGGAAGTGAGATGAGAGATGTTACATTGCAGGGAACTGCAGTCAATGTCATAAAATGTGTATGAACCGCTGTATGGAAAATGAATTTGCTCTGTAAACTTTCACCCACATCACAGTAAAAATTAAAAATAAATTTAAAAATAACATTTGTTAAACAAGAACATATTTCTTTATTTTAGCATAAAGTTAACAATCTTTGACATGAAAATCTGTAGTCGGTCATCTGGTATAAAACTACACAGTACCATGAAAAGTGGGACTCTTTTTGTATATGTCTCCAAATCCCCCATTTTGCTATGTATATAAGCAACACAGAATAGATAAATTCATACTCTTTAAAAATCAACATTAACTATTTGGGTACTACGTTAAAAAAGAATATAGTCAGAAAAGAGAAACCACTTAGTGACTGAAAACTGTATTATTTGATCAATGCCCCATTCCATCAAAGAAGTTCATGGATTCTCTATGATTCTAAGTGAGCCCTGGTGTCACAGTGGTCAAAGTGCTTGCCTGCTAATAAGTTGTTGTTGTTAGATGCCGATGAGTCGTTTCTGACTCATAGCAACCCCATGCACAGCAGAATGAAACACTGCCCGATCCCACACCAGCTCCATGATTCCTGCTATACTTAAGCCCAACTAATAAGAAGGTTGGTAATTTGAACCCACCAGACGCTCTTCAGGAGAAAGCTGTGGGTCAGTCTGCTTCCATAAAGATGACAGCATTGCAAACCCTATGGAGAAGTTCTACTCTGTCTGGTAATGTCCCTATGTATATGAATGGACTTGATGGACAGTGGGTTCCATGGCTCTTAAGAAGTAACAAAAAGGCATATAAAACATGGAGAACTTTCTTGTAGTCCCAAACTTCTGAAGCCAGAATGGACTACCTTAAGAATGGGGTAGTTGTTAGGTGCCATAGACTTTATTCTGATTAATAGGAGCCCATCAGACAGAGCAGAACTTCCCCATAGTGTTCCCTAAGCTGTAATCTTTGTGAAAGCAGGTCTCCAGGTCTTTTCTCTTGCAGAGCAGCCAGTGGATTCAAACTCCCACCTTTGGGCTAGCAGTTAACAGCCTAGCCCTTAACCTTTCCACCACCAGGGCTCCCTGGGAGTAAATGATGGTTGTTGTTGTTGTTAGGTGCCATCGAGTCATTTCCAATTCATAGCAACCCCATGCACAGGAAAACAAAACACTGCCCAATCCCACGCCAGCTCCACGATCCCTGCTATACTTGAGCCCATCATCGCAGCCACTGTGTCAATCCATCTCGTTGAAGGCCTCCCCCTCTTTCATTGACCCCCCACCCTACCAAGCATGACATCCTTCTCCAGGGAATGGTCCCTTCTTACAACATGACCAAAATAGGTGAGACGAAGTCTGGCCAGTCTCGCTTCCAAGGAGCATTTCAGGTGCACTTCCTCCAGGACAGATCTGTTAGTTCTTTTAGCAGTCCATGGTACTTTCAGCATTCTTCGCCAGCACCACAACTCAAAAGCATCAACTCTTCTTCGGTCTTCCTTATTCATTGTCCAGCTCTCACATGCATAAGAGGTGACTGGAAATACCATGGCTTGTGTCAGGCACACCTTAGTCCCCAAGGAGACATCCTTGCTGCTCAGCACTTGAAACAGTTCCATCGCAGTTGACTTTCCCAATGCTACACGTCGTCTAATGTCCTGACTGCTGCTTCCGTTGGCATCGATTGTAGAACCAAGCAACGTGAATTCTTTGACAACCTCAATCTTCTCTCCATTTATTGTGATGCTGCTCATTGGTCCAGTTGTGAGGATTTTTGTTTTCTTTATATTGAGATGTAATCCATACTGCAGACTGTATTCTTCAACCTTCATCAGTAAGTGCCTCAAGTCATCCTCACTGTCAGCAAGCAAAGTTGTATCATCTGTGTATCTCAGGTTGTTAATGATTCTTCCTCCAATCCCGATGCCACGTTTTTCTCCATATAGTCCAGCTTCTCAGATTATTTGCTCAGCATATAGATTGAATAAGTGTGGGGAAAGGATAGAACCCTGATGCACTCCCTTCTTGATTTTAAACCATGTAGTGTCCCCTTGTTCCGTTCAAACGAGAGCCTCCTGGTCAAGGTACAGATTCCTCATGAGTACAATCAAGTGTTCGGGAATTCCCATTCTTCTCAATGTTATCCATAATTTGTCATGATCCACACAATCAGATGCCTTTGCATAGTCAATAAAACACAAGTAAACACCTTTCTGGTATTCTTTGCCTTGAGCCAAGATCCACTTGACAACACCTATGATATCCCTTGTTCCATGTCCTCAGTCAGCCGCAGGGATCCAGGTGAAGAGAGAGAACCCAGACACACCCAAAGCAGCAGGGTGGGAGAGCAGGAGAAAGGGGATTAAAAGCCAGGAACCTGGACAGAGGAGCAGTCAGCCACAGGGATCCAGGTGAGGAGAGGAAACTCAGACACGCCCAAAACAGCAGGGCTGGAAAGTGGGAGAAAGGGGATTAAAAGCCAGGAACCCAGACAAAGGAGCAGTCAGCCGCAGGGATCCAGGTGAGAAGAGAAAACTTAGGCATGCCCAAAGCAGCAGGGCGGGAGAGCAGTAGAAAGGGAATTAAAAGGCCCAGGAACCAGGACAGAGGACCAGTCAGCTACAGGAGTCCAGGTGAGGAGAGAGAACCCAGGCAGGCCCAAAGCAGCAGGGCGGGAGAGCGGGAGAAAGGGGATTAAAAGCCAGGAACCTGGACAGAGGAGGAGTCGGCCGCAAGGACCCAGGGAAGGGTGGTACAAGTGGTTTCCAAAAGGGAGACAAACTTGTCTGTCAGTTTGTCCTACCATGGTGATGTGTTGATATGAGTTTTGGGGCTGAGCCACTGGTGTTTCAAACCCAGCAGGATGCACATGGTGCACAGGTATCAGCCCAGCTTACAGACTGAAACAGACTAGGAAGAAGGAAGAGGCCGTCCACTTCTCAAAGAATTGGCCTGGGAAAACCTTATGAATATTGGGAGTAGATGTTCGGTTGGAATTTTCTCATGTTTAACACGAATATTGAGGAGGAATTTTTGAATAGAGGAAGAGGAAAGATGAACCTGTAAACTGCATAGGATTGATGGACTGGAAGGCTGGGAGGGAGATATGATGGCCAGATAGGTTCTAACTACTTTTTGTTGTTGTTGTTGTTATGTGCCGTGGAGTCAAACCCGACTCATAGCGACCCCTCTGTGGGTTTCCGAGGCAGTATCACTACGGAAGTAGGATTGCCCAACCTTCCTTCCGAGGAGTGGCTGGTGGGTTTGAACCACCAGTCATCTGGTTAGCAGGCAAGTGTCTTAGCCACTATGCTACCAGAGCTCCTTAGTATTAATAAATTACTATTTCAGTGTTAAGGAGCTCTGCTGGTGTGGTGGTTAAGGCATCTGATTGCGAACCAAAACAGGTCGCTGTGAGTCGGAATCCACTCACAGAGTCTATTTGAGTTTGGAGATTTTATTATTACTAATTCAGTATGTGCCTTATCAGGCAGTGTTCCAAATGCTTCACCTGTAATATTAACTCTTTTCTTAAAGCAGCTCTTTAACATGGGTACTATTTATCATTTGTAAAAAGGGAAAACTAAGACACGGGTTTAAAAACTCCCCCACCCTCCAGCAAAAGGGAAAAGCCAGGATTCTAACTCAGACCATCGGACTCCAGCGCCAAGCTAACATTATACCCTACTGTCTGATTACAGCAGTACTAACACATACTAGTGAAAAAGTTTTCAGAGCACGCCATCGTAAACATTAGATCCTCTCAACAACCCGGTGATTGGCAGGAAGAACTAGCCCCATTTTATGAATAAGGAAGAACTGGAGAGCCAAATGATTGCGAATTAAGTCCACTGTGATTAAGCGACTTTTCTAGCTCCTCAGAAGAAATCGGAAAATCCACTGAGACAGAGATCCCAGACAGCACTTTTCTCTCTAGCTGTGTCCACCGCTCTCCGCCTCCTCGGCTCGGGGCTGGATCTTGATCCTTCATGGTCCAGCCTGGCCGTGTGCTAGACACAGAGCGGGAACTGAATACCAGTTTAGTAAAGGAATCACAAACGAAACTAAAGTCCATAAAAGACGACATTGCACACGTCCCATTTCAACCCCCTACACAGCCCAGCGCAGCGCAGCCACCCTTCCCAGGCTCCTGCGGGCTCAGGAAGTCCCGCCCCCGCCACACGTGCGCCTGCCCCGGCAGTACAGCCTCCTCCTGAGACGTCTGCCTTTCCGGTTCCCGCAGCTTCTTTGCCAAAGTACCTCACTCACCAAGAGTCACCCCAGGGTCCTGTACTGTCACTGTGGTGCAGCTCCCCGATCTGGGGATTTTCACGCGGTTCCACGGCTCCAACCCCGGCCTCATGGCAGCCATCTTCCGAGGCGGAGTTGGGACTGAGAAAGGCGGAACTGGGCAAGACCAAGTTGAGCAAGATAGAAGGGGAGAGAGGACGAAACCTCGGAGGAAGGAGACAGAGGCGGGGCTGGGATGTGGGTGGGAGGCGACCTGGGAAAAGGGAGGAGCTGGCAGGGCCTTCTCAGTGCAGAGGATCTTGCAACTGGAGTAGGCTTGGCCTGGAAGAATCAGAAAACAAACTTGGTAGATACATAGGTAGATAGGCTGAAGGATCAAGTATGTGTAGGCCAAAGGGAATATATGCATGACCATATATAAGCTTGGCAGACGGTATTTCTACATGTATGTTTTGTATGTGCTATAAGAATGTCCAAGAGCTCTGGTGGCATAGTACCTAAGGCATTTGACTGTTAACCAGAAGGCAGGCAGTTCAAACCCACCAGTCACTCCTGGGAAGGAAGTTTGGGCAATCTACTTCCATAGTGATCCTGCCTAGGAAACGCAACGAGGGGTTGCTATGAGTCAGATCCCACTCGTTGGCATTGAGTTTGGTTTTTTGGTTTTATGAGAATGTCCATATAAATAGAACAAGGGACAAAGTTATGGTTAACAACCCCAGCCAACCACCCTGAGGGAGCAAGTTGCTGGGCCTGTGGTCTCTGGGCCTGTGGTCTCTGGACCATGGTCACAATAGGCATCAAGCTAAACTGGCGTAAAATGCTACACAAAAACATTGCTCTACAACGTACTTTGGTGACTGGGGACTTAAAAGCTTGCAGGCAGCCATCTAGATGCAACAACTGGTTTCTCATCAGGAGCAAAGAAGAGTGAAGAAAACCAAAGACACATGGAAAAAGTTAGTCCAAGGGACTAGTGGACCATGTGAACCTCAGCCTACATGACCATGGAACCAGCAGAAGTAGATGGTGCCCAGCTATCACTGTCAACCACTCAGAAAAGGATCAGAGCGAGAGATCCTGGATAGAGTGGGAGAAAAAGACAAGGCTTACTGGTCTGATAGAGACTGGTGAAATCCCCTAGTCATCCTTCAGGCCTGGGATTGAACTCACTCCCATGGCTTCCAGACAAACAATAGACAGGCATATAAGATGAACATTTGTACCATGTAGGTACACTCCTTAGAACAATTAATCATGGGAAATCAGAAGGGCAGCATTTGCACAGGGAGATAGCTCAGAGGGTAAGAATGCATGGGAAAAAAGGACACAGGGAAAAGGTAACCACAGAGATAAAATTAAAACCCACTGCCATCCAGTGGATTCTAACTCATAGCAACCCTTTAGGACAGAGAAGAACTGCCCCCATAGGGTTTCCAAGGCTGTAAATCCTTCCAAAAGCAGACTCTGCCTCATCTTTCTCCCACAGAGCACCTGGTGGGTTCAAACTGCCCACCTTTTGGTTAGTAGTTGAATACTTTAACCAATCATCATCAAGCCTCTGATTACCAAAATCTGTCCAGTGCATTAGAAATCACTTGGGTTGTGGTGATTGTTAGTTGCCCTCAAGCCAGTGTCAGCTCATGGTGACCCTATGTGTGCAGTGTAGAAATGTGCTTCATACAGTTTTCAAGGCTGTGACGTTTCGGTAGCAGATTTCCAGGCCTTTCTGCCAAGACACCTTTGAGCGGTTCAAACTTTCGCCTAGTAGTCAGTGTTTAACCATTTGTGCCAGGCAGGGATCACAATCACTTAGGGGGGTTTGGAACTACTTAATCAGATCAAGGAATAGCATGAGGATTCTGCTTTTTTATTCTGCTTTGTTTTTTTAAGTTTCCCCACATGTGATTCTGAGGCACAACTAAGTTTGGAGCTACTTCAAGGCATTTTATAGATGTAGAAACTGAAGCCCAAAGTTGAATACATATACCTCCAACTCCACGTAAAACTTGGGGAAAAGGAAAATGAAACTAAGAGACGTATGCAAGGTACGAAATTGTACCAAAATTGCTTTGTCTAAGATAGTCAAGGAAGGTTCCTCCTTATTTAGGACAACAGCAAAACTGCAATCATATCAAAGAAACCTGAAGCTCAGCTGACTCTTCATCACCCCCACCCCTTACCAGTGTTGGACTCTCCATCAGTCCTACCCCTTATGTGTGTTAAAGCCAAAATCATACCCTGATTGATGCTCCTAACTTCTTTTACCTTTCAAATAGTTATGTCCACCTGATGCCCCTTAATAAGACCTGCATCATGAAGCATTTCCATCAGTATTTGGTAGGTTTTGATGATGTTTTAGTTCTGGCTCTGCCATCTACTAGCTGTGTGACCTTGGGAAAATCACTTAACCTCTCCAGACCGTAGTATCCTTACGGGTAAAAAGAAAGTAAAAATCATAGTATCTGCCTCACAGAGTTGTCATGAAGATCAAATGAATTAATACATGTAAAGTGGTTTAAAACAGTGCCTGGCATTCAAACAATATTTATCTACTCTTAAAATTATTAATATTGTTATTTTTACTATTTAATGCATCTAGCCTTACAAGGTTCTTGGGTGGCACAAATGGTTTGGTAATCTAAGGTTGGCAGTTGGAACCCACCCAGTAGCACCATGGAAGAAAGGCCTGGTGATCTGCTTCCATAAAAATTAAAACCAAGAAAACACTATCCAACCAAAACCATACTCACTGCTGCTGAGTCAGATCCGACTCATAGCAACCCTTCCTTGGGTTTCTGAGGTGGTATCACTACGGAAGTAGATCATCCAACCTTCCTTCTGAGAAACCACTATGGCACAGTGCTACTCTGTAACTCGTGGGTCATCATGAGTCTGAATTGGCTCAATGGCAATGGCTTTGGTTTGAGTTTTTTTAGCCTTACCTTGTTGAAACACTTAAAATGCTCTGTCTGTATTTTTGTACATACTGCTGCCTCAACCTAGAACATGATCCCTCTGAAACATCATCTGCCTTCTGGGGTCATTTTCTGGGTAATTACTGACTATCCTATCCCCACCCTATAAATTACATAGACACACACACATCCCTTGTGTGCTAACATAAGCTAATCCTTATGTTGGCCTTTCTCACATTTACCATCCTGCTTTGTATTTCTGTAAGTGTATTAATCCATCTCCAATGGCATATGAACCTACTGAAGGAGGTACTATGTTGTTGTTGTTATGTGCTGTCAAGTTGGACCCGACTCACAGCGACCCCTCCTTGGGTTTCCAAGGCAGTATCACTACAGAAGTAGATTGCCCCATCTTCCTTCCAAGGAGTGACTGGTAGGTTTGAACCTCCAGCCTGAAGGCAGTACTACAGGTATCTCTCAAAACAAAACCAGCTACCATTGAGTCAACACTGACTCATAGCACCTATATAGGACAAGGTACAACTGCCCCCTAGGTTTCCAACACCAAATCTTTGTGGAAGCAGACTGCCACATCTTTTTCCCACCGAACCCCTGGTGAGTTTGAACCACCAACCTTTCTGTTAGCAGCTGAGTGTTTAACCACTGTGTCACTAGGTTGCTTACTGATAGATGTTATTGTTCATTATATGTCAATGCTCAACTCAGAACCTGGAATGTAGTAGACCCTCAACAAATATTTACTGACTCGATAAAAGACTAGATGATACTTGAATTGGGTTTTTGAAGAATGAATAGGAGTTTCCCAGGCAGCCAAGGGAATAAGAACATTTTGGCAAAGAGGTATTAAACTGTGGGTTTGAAGACTTGCCAGCCCTCACTCAGTATTACTGGAGCATCATGTGTGCTAAAGGATAAAACTAAGGATCAGAGATGAAAGGCTAAATTATGGGAAGAAGTTAGATTTTTTTCCCTGAAGACTAGTGATCCACCAATTCATTTGGATCATCAGGATTACCTAAGTACCTTTAAAAAAAAGTACATATTTTCAGGCGTCACTGTGGAATTTCTTATTCAGCAAGTCTTATTCAGTAATCTCTATTTTTTAAAAAGCTCTCTTTGATGGCAGTCTGGGTTGGGGAGTCCTCCCTTGCTGTGGGTGATAAAAGAATCATTGACTGAGTCTCAGGCATGGCAATTTTTAAAAACTTTCATCAGGGGAACAGCATTCTGGGGAACAGTTTTAAGGGGGATGAGTCTGGAGACAGGGAGAGGGAGGTGGGAGTTCATTAGACAGAAAAAGGATGAAAAACAGAAAAAAGACAGGAAAGGATGAAAGCCTGAATTCAAGCACTGGCATCGGAGATGAAGAGTAAAGGCTGATATAAGTGTCTATTATGACTTCCAAATTTCTCCTTGAGGTTGAGATATACCCATTGCCATTGAGTGGATTCTGAGTCTTGGAAACACCATGTGTGTCATAGTATAACTGCTCCATAGGGTTTTCAAGGCTATGACTTTTAGAACGCAGATCACCAGGCCTGTCTTCTGACACACCTCTGGGCAGGTTTGAACCAAGAGTCTTTCAGCTAGTAGGCAAGCACTTAATTGTTTGCACCACTAGGAATTCCTAAAAACAATATTGAGACACTATCAAATAGAGTAAAAAGTATGGCATGTCATGTTAATTATAATCTTATCTTTTGTTGTTATAATCATGAAGAATGGAAAAAGACTATATCTATACAATGAGCCAGTTGCTTTTTAACATCTTGGCAATGGAATTTTTTTTTTTCATCTCAAAGTATTACACAAAAATCAAATATGTAAACCAAGAGAGCAGAATTACAGTGGTTAAGGGTGTCTGTGAAATGAAGGGTCCTCCCATAAGGCCTCCTGCCCAGGCCCCTAGAAGTGCCTCATGTGACATTTGAATCGGTGTGAGCAGTTTTTGATAGTATCTTAAAGTGTTTGTGGTAGTTAAATTTGTATGTCAACTTGGCTGGGCCTGATTGAATGGCTGGGCAGCTGGTGGTAGTTATTCCCCATGAGGAGACTGGCAATCTCCATGGTGGAATCTTCTACAAGCAGCACATCCTTTGGGATGTGGTCTGCTACCTGTATATAAGGAGAAGCCTTGGGGATAGTCTCTAGTGTATGGCACACTTCGACTCTGCATCTAGCTGTGTCGTTGTTCAGCA